TTACAAAGTGAGATATAATTCGATTGCGTAATTCAAACTGTAATTTTGTTTCGACGAGTAACGGCATCGAATGTTACTCGTTTCTTTTATTTCCATTAGAATTTTGTTCGTTACTGTTTCACGGTAACAGTTATGCGTTGGTCGTGCGTCATGAATGAATTTATGTCAACGCGAATAACTTCGATCACTTAACCGCGATCTTGCTGTGATCGGTATCGCGAACAACCTGTTGACTGCGTAATTAAGCGCGTTACGCGTTAGGCACTATCGTTAACCTTAGCAAATCCGCTTGACATTCCCAGGCTGCATCACGATCGAACCACCGACACAAATTAAATAATCTAATCTCCCCGTGTGTCCATAATTAAAAAGTGACTCGACGAACGTCCCATCGCGATCTATCGCGACCTGGTACGATATATTGTGTCCTGTTACTTATTTATTCCAATGACGATGCATGGAGATCATGGAATAATAATTTTGATCTTTGTATTTTAAAAATAATTTTTCTACCAGAATACGAAAATTAAAGCATAATAATGAGTGAAATGTTTGTGATACAACAATAATTTCCCTACATGGAAAATGATTATATTAATTTATATTATTATATTCGCGCAATTATCTTTCCGTGTATGGTCTGCACGAGCGGTACCTTAAAATATTACTTACTTGAATCGCAACTAAGTTAACTACGAGTGGACACCATGTGGTGTTAACGAAAACTACTAACAGCCAAGAGTGGCCAGAAGATTAAAGTGTTCCATTATGTTTCACCGTGTTACAGGAGAAAGAACAATTTCGTACGTTTCTCGGAGTACCGCGGGAAATTTAATATCGTGTAAATTGTATCGTTGCAAGAGTAGAAATATACTCGAAATATATATCTCGACGTTCGGGGGATACAAGTAACAAATCTAATAATAATAATTCAGAAGTAATCTTACTTCATGTATTTATCCCGTCAATTAACGACACTTAATTTTCATAAAAATTTCCCTGATAAAATCTTGACTACAAACGAATAGTATCAAATGCAAGTTCAATTTATTATACGCTACTCTTTGTTCCACCTGAAAGTAGTATTTATTGCACCAAGGACGCGCGGATACTTTCACGCACTCCTAATATAGAACTCATAACTCGGCTCGCGGAACTATAGCGAGAGGAAAAGATGAGGATTGTGTGCAACGATCATAAATGCGAGAAGATTTGCCTCGAGAACGGGAGCATAAATATCTGGGATTGCGAATGCTTCCTGTTTCGGTCGCTTCGCAGCCGTTTATCCCGATATGATTCAAACAACGAATCGGCTCGCTTCGTTTCAAACGATTATTATTGGTTCACCACCTGGAATGTATGTGTAACGTTTGCCAAGATATCCAATACACTTTCGAAGATCCAACGCGCTATTATAAGTTGCATATTCGTACAGAAACATCAACTATAACTCTTGCATTTCTATCGCTACTATTATTATCGAAGGTCTTACCCTCTTGAGAGGTGAATTTTAAATGGATTTTTCTTCACTACTCGAATACACTGACTTTAGAATGCCGCATTTTTTGATTCTAAAAAGTATTGTGATTGTATGTAATGGACATTATGACATTAAAGCTAACGTAACACATACGTATCAATATCCTTCAAGAGGAAAGATATTGCCGAATGTTTTTAAATTTATTAACCGATGAATCGAACAATTTTTAACTTATTTCAATTTAATTAATTTTGAAATCGATGTGAGCCGATCCAATTGTTTAGTCGAATAAGGACTTGCTATTTCTGGCAAACAGTATCAAAGCGAAAGCAAAACAGAAAGACAGAGAAAAGTGGTTGATCGACGAATAAAAAGGAGAAAGAAAATACCCTCGCAAGAAATAGAGCGGATTAGAACTTCATTATCCTGAATTATTACGGATGCAATTAGCAACAGGCTTCTTACGTCGTATTGTACTGAATATTCTAATCCTGCACACCGTATACGTATATCAATGTCGGAAATACTAAATTATTATCACATCGGCTCCTGGTAATTCAAATGATGAATGTGGTATATTATTTTAGATCTGATTACTATTCTACAATATGACGTAAATTCCGTTCGCTTTATCTAAATGTAACACGTCGAATCACTATAGTTCGAAATATCAATAAGAATGTGTCCCTTCCGTTACCAATGAACTAATCTAAACGACGCAATTCGCAATCAAATATTCTCGGAACACAATTGCGTTTGAAGTACAAACCAAGGAGCGCGAAATGTAAACATGGTTTCATCCACGGTTCTAAGAATTTGAGCAAATGCTTGGCCTTGAACGGTTTGAAATTTCCCGGAACGTAACGTTATGATTGCGAAGGACTATTGTGCGCGACAATTTCACCTCGAGAGAAAACAATTTTCCGATAATTAATGTGGTACGCTGAACTCGCTACTACAATATCGATTCAACGATATTTTCTATTACAAATTGAATAATTGAAATTATTTTTGTATTATTTAAATGACTACAGGGTATTGGAGACGTTTCAGAATAATCAAACTCGGATATAATTACCATCAAGGGACAAAACTTGATTTGCTATAATTCTTATTAATTATATTAGCGAGTTAAACGTACTTTCCACGAAAAAGAACGTAAAGTAACTCGATAGTGGGTGCAGAACTCAATTCCAAGTTCATTCCAATTTATAATACACTCGTAGATTAATATTATGTTTATACCTTGAAGAAGACCTACAAAAGTCGAATACGTTACAGCTAAATACATAACACTTGATTCGACCAGAACCAATCACGTGTCGCTGCTTCTCGATAAGAACTCGTCAATTAAATTATTAAAAAGAACCGATACATCCACGTAGTCCTGCATTATTTACACTAACACGAATGAAATAAATGAAAGTACAATATCTACGCAATAATTCTGCCCTCTAGTTGAAACGTTCGATAATTAATTGCTTGAAAGATATTTCCGTTGAACAATTTCTGCTTAGCCATCGTGTTACTTTTACTTTGAATTTCACTCAGCTGTGCTGTTACGTTTCCGCTGGAACAAAGAACGCAGGGGAAAAAGGGCGGAAAAAAGGTATTTACAGTCACGGCGAAAGGAAGAAAAGGACTCCGAAAGGTCGCGCTCCTGCTCGAGCGATACACGTTCTAGAAAGAGCTGATCGTGTATCCGCGTTCACGGACACGTATATATGTATAGTCTTCGTTTTCAAATTACCATCGTCAAAGTAAACGCGAGCAGCATCGACACTCGAACGTGGAAAAAAGAACAGTTTCGAAAGGAGCGCGACACTGAAAATTCGAATCGGCGACGCCTCGTTGGAATACCGCGAGCTACACAATTTTCTAGAAACTTCTAGTTACGCGGCGCACGAGCGTCGGCGTCGCGTCGCTGCCTCTCTGCGAACGTTCTCGAAGCTCGAACGTGGTCGACGCTGTAACGAACGGATCGCTGGGCTCCAAATCGATAGGCAGATGTACAAAGTTGAGCAAAAAGTTCGTTCGGTGTGTAACGCGTAAATGAAAAGCGATTTCTCTTAGGCAAGGAAACATCTGTATTTAATAACACAGATATTCTCCATTTCGTTCCATGATCTTTCCCTAAACAATTGATCCAAGTTATGTTTAGCAACCCCTTCAGAATTGGAGCTCTTTTTCCACTTGGCGAATTTTGTAAAAGTCAGAGATGAAAATCGGAAAATTCTTAAAAGTTTGTTGTTCGATAATAAAATTAAGCGTTCGCTGTGAAGTGATTTTAAACAATAGACAATCGAAGTGAAGTTAGTAAACAGAACGAACTTTTTTGCAAACTTCATAATAACGATGAAAATAATCAGATAACATACTCGGTAATATCGATACGCATCGATTCCCAACTATCGCGTTCAAGTATTGAACAAGTATCGAAATGGTAACGATAAGACAGACTTGTTGATGCTTCGAAAATTGTATCGATATAATTCAAAATACTCCCGTATACGAGGCAACGGTGTAACTGATACGATATCGTGGTTGGGCAGTAGTAAAATAAATTTTGGTAAAAGTTTATTTCGATAATAGTTATGTAGATAACTACGAATTACGACGATCCAGCAACTTTTACATATTTGAACAGTTGGTTTGCTCGTCCATAAATAAATAAATAATCGCGCGAATTTGAAGCGATTTATGATGTGTGATATGTACAGCATAAAAGAAAAAAAACGACGTAAACGACGTAAAAAAGTATGTAAACGACACGTTCGCTTGGCAAAAGCAAGGAGTGGGGGGAAATACGACAGCAAGACAGCTGTTTTCTAATGAGGAATCAGCTGAGAAAGGTCGAGAAACGAAATATTCATTATCTATCGATTGACACGGGCCGAAACACCATCAGTTTGTTTGATTTCCGATGAGAATTGTAAGCAGGTATCAAACTAGTTGTAATCGATACGCATCGACACGACAGTCGCGTGTCTCCAGAACTCCAAAACCGTTTCTAATCGTTCCCTAGATGAACCGATACGCGAGACTCGATGTCTAACGTCAATGTATCGATAATATTTACACAATTCTCGGACCGATCACTGAAGGTAGTTTTCGAACGCTACCATATGGAGCAACGACGGTAAACAGCGTACAGAGGGCCGACGTTAGAACCACCAGCGCCACCATGCCTCTACTAATTCGGCCGCCCTCCTATGTAACTGGTGTTACAAAATAAAAATAAACGAAGTCTGCGTACTCGAATTCCCAGCAATACGCATCGATATAACAATCGATATGCAACGATATAATACAATGCAAAGTACTGCCACGAGTAGTACAGTTACTCCAAAAGTATACCTTGCCTGCTTCTAAACCAGAGAAGCTCGTTAAAGCTAAACCTAAGATATGATAATCCTTCATTTCATGCGTACATTTTTCATGTACGCGATTCACTATTCGCATCGTTCGATTGATCGTAAAGTCGGCCCTGACAGCCTATGTATAACGTTCGTGTACTCACATCGTGTAAGAGCCTCTTCTCGATGTCGTCGGGACGCGGTAACACGTCACGTCTCACAAGCGTTGATCACCGGTGTAGAAGCACGGTTACATGTATCCGATCCCAGCGTTCTCCTGTGTCCACTGTATGATCTGCCCTCGCATACGATGCTCGTCCGGCACCGGCACGTGACGTTTCGACCGGCTACCGAACCGAACCGAACCAGAGAACAGAATCGACGAGAAGCAACGTTTAATTACGTTCCTCGGCGGTTAGTCTCACGCTCGACGGTTGCACTGCACGAAATCGTCACAAACAGACGCGTTTCGTGATAGCTCTTCTCGATAGCGACCACCAACAATAAACTTCTTAGTGATGGACGAGATTGGCTGCTGCCCGTCGTCGTTGGACGGGCAGACGCGAACGAATCGTATCGAAGTTGCCTGTTTCCGATCGACTTCGATCCTACGTGTTCATCGTCGTAACCGTCTCGATGTAGATGGTAAACACACAAGGTCGAGCGGGGAATATACGAACGTACCGTTGCCGATCAGTTACGGACCGACGACGAAGAGAAAAACGTTACGAATCAACGGGGACCGGTTTACACGTCGACGACTGAGAGAACAAGTCGCCGCGGCGAACCAATTGACACTGACAGCGGCGTTCAACTCGAGCGCGCACGCACTCTGGCTTCCCCCACTCGCGCCACCTTCCCTCTTACCGTGAACACCTTCCCCTTCTACGTGACGTACCCCTTCCCCCCACGCTTCGTTCGACCCGGCAAACGCTCGCGAACGTCATCGACGCGACGCTGCTCATCCCTCTCGGCGTCGCGACGTTTCCACGCGCTCCTGAATCACGACTCGACTCGATTTTGACGTGCAAGCGTTTGCGCGCCGCCACGAAAAGCACCGAGGTACACGCCGGCCGGCGGAATGACAGCTTACGCAAGCGTCACTCGGATATTTTTAAGCCCACGGATTCCCCGCGAATTCTCGCGCCGATAATGGAGACGTTTGCCCGCGATTTTCCACCGACCGAATTCCCGCCTCATGCATCATGGACGTTCGCGCTAAAGATTATTTTCCCTTGATTTTACTCGTTTTGAAAAACTCTTTACAATATGTTGACTCTCGTATGGCCTGAATTATCCTTATAGAATCATGTTTTAACGTACTCTAACGCTGAAACCTAATATTTTATTTCGCAGTTATAAAATTACTCCAACGCCGAAGCTCAATATTTTCCTGTTTCCGTGTTGTTCTCAGCGTTTCCCGACATCTAGAACTGTCTATAGACGCCTATAACAGCTCCCGCAGCCTATAGGCGATCGTTCTCTAACAATCAGTTAAATATTTCCACATCGATGAAACTTTTGAAGAGTTGTCGCCCTACTTTTCCACGCTCCTTGCGGCGATAGGGAATTTTCTAGACCGATGCCCTACGCCAGTGATTCTTAACCACCGTGCCGTGAAGATATCGCCACTGTGTCGTGGATGTTTTGCGAAGGATCTCGCATAAATTTTTCATCTTAACAGCTTTAAAAACTGTTGCTGCGTAATTTAACGTGGGATCATATTTATCGAATTTACCAAACGAATTTCATTTCATTTTTCTTGATTTGCCGACTCGAAGACTCGGAACGTTTCAAATAATTTCATATTTAAATTGATTTTTGTCTTGTACCAAGTTTTAGCCAATATTACATTTACACTTATACTACATATTTATGCTTCTTTCGAATCAAATTTTCCTCTTCCAGTGAATGTATATTTTAGAAGCAATTAATTTCTGAATTCCTCTCGTTACAATTATTCACGATAAAGAACTGGCCTTTTTCTCCTCTAAATTATTCGAGTACAAGGCGACTAATAATTCTCTAAAAGCGGCCTTAGCTTAAAAAGGTGAAGAATCATTGGTGTACGCTGTCTGTGAGCGGTTCTTCCGGCAGTGAATGCTCTTCATGCAAAAATCCATTCCGGGGTGCACGCGGAAAAAGGAAGACGGTAATTAATGCAATTAAGATGCAACGTGGCAGACAGGCGCCCCAAGAGTGCATCGAGATACACACGCACGCGAAGAATGTTACGACGCGAATGAAATTCAACACGCAGAGACGAACGTTCTCCCGGTGTTTCCATAACGTGTGCATAACATTTTCATAATATTCACGTACGATAAACGTTAACAGGTCTGGCGTACACTCGGTGTTCCCCGCTACGCCTTTATCGCGTAAAAACCGTAACGAACGTAAATAGCCGCTGGATTCAATTAGCTGGTTATGAAAACGTGGATAATCGACACTTAGCAAATTAGAGACGACGGAAAACGGTTTCGTATCTACGATCAGGGATGCGTGTTACGACTTGAGAGTCTCGATATCGGAAATTTTATTCGAGGAATGAATAAGCACACTTTTTGTAACGATTATTCTACATTCAGGTTTCACTCGTTCAACGTGAAATATAATTTCTAACTAACGTTTAACTCCGGAGGAATGTTGACTTTCGTTAATTTATCATTAACACAAAGCAAACGGTCCTTTGAGTGGTAGATGGCAGGCTACGCGCATTCGATAGAAAAATACGTCAGCTGAGTTCCAAAGACATTTTTAGGTCAAGCAGTTATTGCAGGTTACTGACTCTGGTCGTTAGTTTCATGTCGTGGTGTTGGTTGCTATGTAGCTTTTAAATGGAAACCGCGGTTTGTCTATTCTTGGTTCCCGTCGTCGATACTCGCAGAGGCATAAGATTCCACGCGCTTCTACAGTCTATCGTTGTAACTCGACGGTACAATCCTACTGGTTGTTATTCTGCGTAAACAAATGAAACGAAAATGTCGAATAAAATTTCTTCGTACGAGGCTCTGTTTTCGAGGAAAACAATATCGAACATTCCTCGAATAACCACGCGATCTTTGGCTTACGTGTCTGTCTATTACTAGTCATTTCTACTTGATCTCTATCATTGCCAACCACATAGACGGATAACGCACTCTTTCAACTGAATTGACGAATAATATATGATCTTTAAGATTGCAATATTTACTGTCAAAGGCTAAAGATGTTTATCGACTTATTCCTGGCGAAAAAGTTTATCCAAATGTAAAGTAACACATCTCAGTTTGTATGAAACGTTACATCTGAAACTATTTCATTAAAACAATATGCACCTGATTAAATTTTTCCACGCATGGTATACATCCCTTAATTTTCATCTATATCCAATTATTCTTCCATGGTATAAAAAGATCCTCAATTTTCAGTAAAAATTAAAAATCCCCTCGACAAACGAACGTTTTGAAATACGCAAATATTTTCTGGGACAGCGTAATATACCAATTGGTTACATTTCACCCGACACAGATTGTTCATACGGGCAATTAAAATACCGCGATCCGTCGCGCACTTTTTCCTCCATAAACTTCCATGTGTCACTCGATCGTTAAGCGTATTCAGGTTCCCGTCGGAGGGATGCAAAAAGTTACTCTTAATTGGAACAACCGCGAGCTTACAACATTCCGAACGGCGGCCAGTTTCCTGCGGGAAGGTCACTTCCCTAGCTTCATTTGAATTTTCAATTGGTGGACCGATTAACCCGAAGATATCGTATTTATCTCGGCGGGCAACGAGTACAGGTGCGTCCCAGGTGAAACACGGAGCGCGTAAATTTCGCGCGAAACTGGTCGTTTCAGCGGCGAAGATGTCGCTGGTATCCGCGATAACGAGCGTACCTCCAATTAAGGGAAAGGAAAATCGAAGCGCGGTAACGAACGAACGCATCTTTCATCCGTTAACGATAGGCTTGGTCTTGGAGTCCTGTAAGACTTTCTTAAGAGAACTTCTAACTTAGTGGGAGAAAGTTTTTTATCCTGAGAATTTTATTTTTAAATACTATCAATAACTACTGTTAAGAGAGATCTTCAATTTGTTCGGATATACTTCGAACATACAGAGTGATAGATTTTCGATGTCCAAATTTTTGAAGCACTATAAAGTCTTTCTGGAATCTAGGGACTGATCGTTGGCCGAATTGCATTTGTGGATGCCCATCAGAAATTCTTTCGGGAAGCCACCTTCTTTAAATTTCATTAGCTATGACCACAAGAATACTTTCCACGACATACCAGCAGCAAATACAACGTGAGATAAATATAAGAAATCTACCCTTTCAATGGATCCGCAGCTGCGAAACAAAGAAGCAAATAATTCATAGCACACTTACTCCGAATACCAAAAACACCCGGACATCTGTTAAAAGAGAAACTCCCCTCTAGTCGCAATTCGCCCAGATTGCTTTCCAAAACGAAACGTGATGGGTAATGGACAACTGGAGAGAGGGTCGAAAAATAGGAAACCGACGATGGAGAGAAATCCTCGAGGAAATCAAGCTGCAATATGCTGGAAACGTGCGCTTTGTCGGAGCGCAGCGCGAGAACAACGAAAGAGCAACGAATGGCGGTGCATCGTGCTCGGGAGCACGAGCGAAGTGAAGGTGTCGATGACGTAATATGCAGCAACCACGGATACCTGTGGCGAAGTGGGGTGGCTCGTGACGGTAAAGGTGATCATCGCGGTGGGGGGAAAAGTATAATCACGTGAGACGGTGGTACAGAGTGGGGCATGCACATGCGCAGACCGACCATCGCTAACGGCGACCGTCAAGGACGTTTCGCGCTAGTCGTGACGGTCTGCACGTCAGACAGAGAAAGAGAGATTAGGAATTACTCGAATAGTTTGGGACATACTTGTACGAGTGTAAAATAATTATTCCGTTGCATTCGTTTCGAGATGGGTTAGCAACTGTACTCTTAAAACGGTACGTATACTATTTCGACGTAGTGAAAAATTGTGTTTTGCTTCTCGCTCGTCGAAGTTAAATGTGGTCTATTTAACATGACGAAATAAGAATCGAATTGTCCGACTGATTGTGAGTTTGTTGACAATCGTAGATTCGATTGGTAGCTTTATTTTGAAGAGAGTAATTCGTACCATTACGTGGTTCAAGATAAAATGGAATTTAAAGGTCTCTGTTCAAAGAACAAATTACTAATAAAGATATTCGTGAAATAAAAAGAAAATATACATGTACTGTATTACGTAAACCGTTGGTTAGATAATTGACCGAACAGTTGTGAAAAAAATACAAAATGTTGAAACAATGACTGGTTTTGGATTTCCCTTCAAGTATTTGAAAAGTGCTCCCCGTATAGCGAGTAGATTGTGAACCATATGCTGTAGTAGATCGCGCTTAATCGTTATTATGTCGGCGTTGTGTTCGGGCGCTGTGTATTAGAAATTAGCTTTTAGTGAAACTTGGAGCATTCGGAAAAATATTGAGCTCGGTCGTGCCTTAGAAAGTAAACGGTTGAAAAAAGCTCGAGGCACTCTTGCTATGTTATAACCATCGTGACCGATGGTATTAGAGCTATCGCATGCATAGACCTCGACTGATGGATCGGTCAGTGGCACCGTAAGGGTCAAATCGACATTCTGCGAAACACATGAATTCACCTACGAGAAAAACTTTCGAACAGTTCAACTTGTCGAATATGCCGCAGGTAATAATAATCGCGCAACAAACTTGAGAAAAAAAGAACGCGTGTTTAAAAGCGAATAATTCTTCGTTTAAATCCGTTGAAAACGCGCTATTATTT